TTGTTTAACCCATTACTTCATGAGCATTTTGTGAAAAATGGCTGTTTTCATTGAAAAGTCTCCCGTTATAAGTACAAATTGCTATAAAACTATAAAAACTGCTTCAATACTAATCAAACTTGGCACAAATGTTGGCTGGACCATTGCTTTGTAACAACATGCTCAAGCTTAAATTTCCTGTTACCGTGGCAACCAGGGGATATCTCAAATTGCCAAAACACACTATATTGCGTTGATTTTTTTCCCATCAAAATTGATTTAAAAGTGCTGCAACTTCTCAATGGATTGAGATAGAGTCAAATGCTATTCAGCGTTGGTAACACGTTACCTTATGATCGATCTGGGGTCATTTGTAGCCTCTAACAAGTCTAAAATTTTCTTGGTAATGAGGGGGACTGCCGTCTTTCAAACCCCCAAACAGAAAGGGGCACATTCCCCTTCTGGCAACCCCCTGATGTATCTTTTATTTGGGGGGGCGCCGAAAATGTGGTCACTTTTTTATCAACATTTCTCAAACGAAAACATGTGTTTGGGGCCCAAACAGGACATTTTGTCACTATTTGAGGCCCAAAAGAGGGGGGGGGGGGGGTAGAAAGTTCGTTGTTTCGCGTATATATGAGGTAAAGGGTCAACAAAAATGATGAAAATACCTGAAATTACCCAAAATCGCGTTTTTGGCTTAACATATAAATTTGAAGAAAAATTGTTGTTTTGTAGAATTTTTTATTATTTTCATTAACAGAAGATACAGTATAAGAAACATTCATAAAAGATACTGTCTGCATTAGAATCTCATAATAATGCTTTTGAAACTAACTAAAATATATGTGTAGGTTGTTCCAGAAAAGCGTTTAGTTATATACATCTAGATGAATAGCGAACCATTTGATGACAATGATTAATAGCTAATTACAAAAACATTCTAATAAATAGCAGCAGTTGTTTGATTATTGTACATAATTAAACAAACATTTACGAGTATATCTATTTAAAGAACAGAATGTATTGTATAACGTACCATTCAATGTAAACTGAGAGTATTTCGAGATGTCTGCAAATGCTCCCATACAGTCTAGCACCGATCCGTTCAAATACGGCGTTTAAATTGTACAAACTCAAATAAGTTTAAGTGGTCGGTTTTGTTTTCAAATTTTGTGTTATTTGTTCAACTCATGTCCTTGAAGAATGAAATCAATTGTCCTTGAATAATGTATTTGAAATATGAGTTAATTTTGCAAAATTTCAATGTTACACAATTATACACTATTTCTGGACAACCTTCGTATTGTATGGGCACATAAATATGTATATATTCTATTTGATATTACATTAAAACCATTGATTTGAATATTGAATAAACCGTTTTTTAAGTGTTTGACATTTTAACAAACAACAGCGACGGAACCGAATGTGCTGTTACCAGTGTTAACATTATTTTATTTTTTTGATAAATCTTAAATTGCAAGTACATAAGTAAAAGCCAAACATTTAGTAAGGGAACCTAAGTTTAGTTTTTGCTTGAGTAGAATAATATGTATTGTGAATATGACAAAAAGCAAACCTAATCCGGATTAGCAGATTGACATATGATTAAAGGTTTTAAGGTTAAAAGGCATGTCCCATTTAAATAGAAAATAAGTATATGCGGTGATTATTTTTTTAATTTGGTTAAAAATGAATTTCTTGTTACGGTTAATTTTAGATTATAGTAAACAGCTGCAGGAACGGAAGGTCATAAACCTTTGTCACCATAACAGTTTTTGTGTGACTTATAACCCGAAGCAAACTAAGAAAAACATTAATGATAAAAGTTTTACAATTTATCTGATTACGAAAGGAAAAGTAATAATAATAGATGGAAAACAAATTAGACTATGGCATTCACACCTGAAGTAAGTAAAATTGCCAATATCTTAAAATTAATGTGTGAAAAAAAGAAGAAAAAAACAGAAAAGAAAGAAAGAAAAGAAAACATTCAAAGACGTTTATTCAAAGATTCAAATGGAATATAAGAGAAACCACGCAAACATCCTTCTTTAAGATATAATTATCTATAGAAAAAGCTACAATACATAAATGATCTACGTTTCCCGTTTTTGTTTTGTCTCTGTAACCCCTGTAACCCATGATTGATGATGAGAAATAGACAGAATAGAAACCACCTGAACCTACTTGTATCGAAATCAACTTTCACTACATCCAAGTAGGAAAGTTTTTGTCAGAAAACGAATGTGTTGCATAGATATCCTTGAATTGTTTAAGATTGAGAACATTCTCTTTCGTCAATTTAAGGTGATTGCATAAGTCTACATGTTAAATAAATTTCACATTAATTCAAGATTAAGCACGAGGATAAGAAAACACGGGGGATATGACCTTTTGAAAAAATCATTTTATTTAGTGTCCTATTGTTTTCTCACAATCATATAACACATAGCGACCCGTATTTTATGGACTAAGGGTTCCACGACCACCACAATATTATCACAGCTTCCATTGTTTCTTGATTAAAACGTTTAACCATTTGCCATCTGTAACAAGCTGTAAGTGCATATTTATGCTTAATATGGTGCAAGCAGGCTTGAGTTAACCTGCTTTTACCACCACCGTCCATAAACGGGCTCCAACAAACCGAGCAACATATTAAACTTTGTTTAATATTTGACAATCTTCAATGTTTCCTCTTTGACTATTCTATTGCATCTAATGAACCAAACATATACTGAATGTAATGATAAAAAAGCAAAGACCAAAACAAAAAAATGTATGTAAATATCAATTTACTAAGGAGGCAAGCAACGTTATCCTACTTCCTCTAGCACCGGAAAATCCCTTAACCTGCCGTGTTTGTGTAAAACATTGCCAAACTTTATATCTTTGAAAAGTTGATTTCAACATCAAGGCTGGCCTTACTCTGTACTGGTGACAAAGAGATGAATGTTTTTGAGAAATTTACTCATTAAATACCATTTCTGATCAAAAAGCATAGAAGATACGGAATAAAAATTGTATGCCTAATGTGGCCAGTTGTAAAATTGCTTTTATGAATATCTAATGATTGGAACCTCGTTCGCCCCGTTCGTCTGCCAGTGCCCGTTTGGTATTATTTTGGGTGTGGTTGTTTACATTGTGGGGTTACGTTTTGTGAACGTGGCTCGCCCTTTTGATCTTTATTCTCATATTCTTTACTGAAAGCTCGGTCGATAATAGCTTTTTAAGTAATTGTAACAGCTTTTCTACATTTCTGAAAATAACTTCACATTATTTGTACAAAATAATAAAGTTTTCCAATTAGTTTTGTTTTTCTCAATTCTAATACAAAAAGTACAATTGTTAGCGGCAAAGTTTCACTACTACCGGAAGTAATCTACGATCGGATGGCGTAATTGCCAATTTTGTTGATCGACAGCTATGATATATTTCAAATAAAATGAAAACGATATCCGGAGTGTGTGAAAGGAACCCATAGAGATGTTACTTTATTGGTCAAAGTTTTCATATATATACAATGTATTAAAATACAAAACGTTATTTTGATCTTCTCCTGTGTCTGGATCTACTGGTACTCAGACTAATTAGAGACAGAACTGTATTAAAATTGCTCGATTTATCTAAAATTGCGTTGGTGAGATAAACTGTTTTGTAAAATTTGCCGGAAATCTGCTATACACCAGATTCGATAACTTTCATGATGGTAAAAGAAGATGGTTTTATTTCAGTCATTTATTAAAATTCCTATATCATATTTTTAGGATAAAGCGTAACAGTACTAACAAGGATTGTGGAACCAGGGACAAAATTATAAATCGTATAAAGACAGATAACGCACCATGTCAATTCGATAATCCTCAAAAATATAGTAATAATAGTCAACTTTAACGAAACAATTGACACGCGAATCAATATTCATACTTTTTTTTAATTTACAGCAGAAGGGGTCTGAAATATCAGCAGTAGGGGTCGCAGCTGTTTCATAGGTTCTTATTGATATTGTCTGACAATTTGTCGCCCATAGAATCGATACATGTAAGTAGTGATGGCGGTTGATTTGTGTTATATTTCATGTTACTTCATGAAGATAATGATACTTTTCGATGACATTTTTTTCCATAAAGTTTTGAAAGACGATAATTCATTTTCTCACATCATCGTTTCAGCCTTCTGCGTGGATCCAAGAACAACAACAGCTATACCCTTGTCAATCTATAGTTCGACACCATTCATGTAAGTCAGAATTAAAAAAAACCTCAGAGTTTATCATTGATTCCCGATATGCTGGACATTAACATTATCTCTAAAAACAGATTCAATGAAACCGAGCCTGGAATTATCATATAATTATTGTGTTTTCATTGCTTCCGTCAGATCTATCCATTTCCAGATTTTCATTTTTCACCTTTATGATATTTAATTTTTTGATGTTTCACGAAAATACTATCCGTTATTTTCTCAAGCAATTCGCTGAAATCGGTCGTTTCGAAAAACCGCAAACTTCAAGTTATTTCTATTTGTCCATGCAGCCATTGTGGGGAGTAAGGTCAGATTGGACAGACTAAATCATTCGAATCACACGAATGCCAAGGAGACCGGCAATATCAAACATGATTTAAAAGCACAAGCAGCTTCGAAATGAATACCACAAAATAGAAAGAATGATGGCCAGCTCAGCTTAGCTTACCGTCAAAAGAATGTGGATGTCATCAACCGAGTCAAGTCATCCGCTTGATGTTAATGCTTATGCGTTGGATATAATGCGATGTATTTAAGAAAAAGGTAAAATTACAGTTAGAAAGGAATGTAAATGCTTGGAGTAATCTGATTGTAACGCATGGACATGACATTTAAGATGAAGACTACTTTTTAATCGATTTTTTCTTTACCTTGCACTAACTAAGACATTTCTTTAGAAAATAACAAACAAATTATTTATGAATCTTCATTAAATTATAACTTCTATATTCATAATTAATTATACGGGGCACAATAAAACAAACTCACTCTAAATCAATCAATGCTTTATTTAAAGACAAACAAAATAATAAATAAATAATACAGAAGTTTTTATAAATAAGATTGCACTGGAAAAGCTTTGGCACATAAAAATGAATCGTCTAGCGATCGACAACTCTGCACATGAAACGCGGTGCTTGTAATACTGTTCCTGGAGTAAGTTCCCTTGGATCGTGGGATGGTAATTTGCCACAAGATGGCGCAAGAAGTTTATGCTTTTGTAGAAGGATTGTCATAAATAAAAACATCCGATGGAAGGTCGTTGACACCCCCATACAAGATCTGCTCCCTACACCAAAGGGCATAAAATACCTGAAACAGAAAAATAGTAATGATATATCAATAAATAAATTACATTTACTTCCGACTTATGATGTATGAAATGTTATACGAAATTTTTGAAGTGAAATGTAAATTATTGTCAACTGGTCCATTGACAGTTCAATTTTAATTGGCTTCGTTAGTATGAACCAGTTTTACTTAAGTGCATTTTTAATACCACAAATACAATTTAAATATCTTAAATACCACATGAATACTAGTATTTTCTGACTAAATGTCAAACAATTACCTCAGATTTTGAATAAGCACATTAACTAACTCATTGGTTTATGTCATTAGAATATCACTTTTGATAATGTGTAGGTACGTATGTTTTATTTTTCATGTTTTTCTCCCTAGAATATATCTACGCTTATTCTCTGATATGTCTACGTCACCACAGTATTAATATGAAGACAGGTAAAGATAGAACTAATTGAAACATTCGGAGTTCAATTATAAGATAAGCAAGTGGGATTTCCAAACATCATTTGAAATATTTTTCTTATCATCTAATTAAGTAAACACACGTGTTCCCATGGAGACATAATTAATGTTTATTCTTTTTTAAATCATATATGATTTGTCCAAAAAAATAAACTATTGGGTATTAAATCGTGACTCAAAGTACCTCATTAGATAGCGTTTAATGTTAGGTTAGGGTCCGAAAGCAATTTGTTTAAAAGATTTACCTATTTCTAAAATCATGTTCCATAGTTATTACATTTCCATTGTCTTGTAGAAATCTTTCTGGTTTGAAGACCCAGGGGTCTTCCCACAACACTTCGTCATGATGTACATAAAATTGGTTTCCATATATCTGTAAGTATAAATAGGATAACATACAATCATATCAATGGAATTGCTCAGAAATAATTACTCAAAACCATTGTATGTCACTGAGAGGTAAAAAGTGCATGACCGTTGACTTTCTGTAAACATTTTAAACATTTTAGTAGCACTTTTTTTCATGAATAGTCGTGAATTAAAACAATCTGGACACAATGAAACAATTTGAGCTGACTGACGTCGGAAAGGCTAGACCGTTATTGTCACCTTTATGTTTAATTCAAGTAATGGTTTGATACAACAGTATTAATATATAAAGTTGAGCAGGCGAAAAAATAACGCGTGGTACACAATATGTAGTATTGCAATGCGGTTGTGATATCTTAAAATCAAACATTTAAGTCTAATCCGGATTAAATTAAGAATACAAGATTATAATAAAATAATATACTTATTAACAGAACGATAAAGTGCTTACAACAAAAGACCAACTATCAAAATTAATTTGCTTTTAATCAGTAATTGGAATACGAAAGTGTACTTTTTCAATACTTTTAATATCTGTTTTCATTATGGTAATATTATACTCTTGATTTCATATCAGAATTTACTTTGTTATATAGTTTAATTGTTTACAACGTTTCTGAACATTAATACATACCGAGGTGCCTTTTGGAATCACAAAGTCATCAATTGTTATATCAGAAGTTGTATTTGTATGTGTGGCTGATAAACCAAGGTGTGACTGGTAACGCAGAATTTCTAGAATACACGCATGCGTATACGGCATGTTTTGTAAATCTTCTGGTTCCGGTTGTCGTTCCTGGCCAATGACGTCATTAATTTCTTGATATATGTTATCCTGGACATTTTGAAAATGTACAAGTAAGAAGTAAAGACCGGATAACACACCTCGTGATGTAAGTGTAGCTGAAAATAAAATAAAACGATTATATAACAGGTGACATAAATCATCCACGGTTTGGATCGTTTAAACACAATAAACTTGCATGTGACCGTAAAGCGTAAAGGATAAACATGATTAAAATCACCTGTAATAACAATCAAATTAAGATTACAACATAACTATGTTTAACGTAATATAATAAGGCCCGCTTCTCATCAATCTAATGAAGTAATAGTAAATGTGTTGCGGATTCTTGAAGCTACATCAATAAATAGAGCACACGTATCAGACCCACCGGAGTAAAAGTGTTGAAGTGTTGCCATTGTTTAGAGCTCCAGCCATAAATAGAGCAATCATATTAGACCCGCGTTTACATGTCCGAATGTTATGAAAGTTTGAATCACCCTCAATTAATCTAGCACTCCTATCCAGCACCGCCTCTGATTGATGTAACAATTAGTAATAGTGAACGTGTTGCAAGTGTTTGGAGTTCCAATCGTGTAAGACTCTCATTTAAAAGATAAAATGTTGCAATTGTTTAGTCTTCGCCCGTAAATACAGCATGCCTATTATGCCCACCTCTAAAGAAGTAAAAGTAAATATTTTGTGAATTCATGAATATCTTACATGTATTTATAAGATCCATCAGAACACCTAGGATAAAGTCATCAGTTAACCATTCTTCCTCTTCTTGAATACTGAATAATGAGTGCAACAAGCAATCCCTCCTCCTTACTTTAAATTCATCCTGGAAAACAAAACACGATTTGTTTTAATGTCATCTTTTTATTTGCTTTTAACAATATTGAAATGATGTACAAATTGATGTTCAAAGTAATTTTAACATCAATCATATGGAATAAAAAGAACATAATTATATGATTGTATGGCGGAATGCCGGAAACGTATGAATGAGATTCGACATAAATAATATGTCATAAATATTTCATTGTAAGTGTTGTGGTCTTAAATCTTTAAAAATTAAAAGATTGGTTAATATGCACAAACTCTCGATTAAATTTAAGTATTCATTCATTGAATAAAATTCAAATATATGTAACAAGTGGCATACAACTTTTTTTTAGAGAAATTACAACTAACAAAAAATGTTATAAAACGTTTAATATACCTTTAACTTAACTAGAAGCTCAGCTTTCAGATTATTTCTACTTCTTACAGTTTTTCTATATAAGTCACCATAGTAACCGGGAAAACAACGCAAGACCGGAAGCAGTTTTAGGATAAAATGTACAGACGGTGTAATCATCTCGTTGCCATGGCGATCAAAGTTGACAATTGCTTTCAGGGCGGGATCACAGTCTTCCAGAATTTCTCCTGTGAACTGAAAAAAAAGAGATAATTTTGAGTTATATTGAGTTACTACCTTTAAATGTTGTATTAGTTATGTTGGCCTGTTATTGGGGTTACTTTTATTTATGTATTGTTAATGGATGTAAGTGATTCGCACTTGTTGTTTTCTTTTCATCCATTTTTCCCGACAAAAAATGTACTAATTACAAACATTTTTTTGTGGATACTTACAGTTTTTTTTCAATTGGGTCATTGTTGCATATTTTGTTATTAGTAAGCAAAACATCAAGAATGTTTCTATTTATGAATGAAATTATATCATAAGTTATATTTTGTGATTAAATTATTTCTTGAAGAAAAGTGGCGGCAAAGCCGAGTGGTTAACGTGCCGTTGTTTTCTTGAGCAAGAAACTTTACACTCATAGCTCAAAACTGTGTTGGTTCCAGAAACGGATTCGATAGTGTCCCTATACGAACGCTATTACCTTCCTACACAGTCGAACCAAAATAAAATTCTGTATCAAACGATATTTCGATGTTATGTTACTAAAGGGAATGGGCTTATAAATGTTGAACTGAATATTGTATCACTTCATAATGTAGATAAAACCAGGAAATAAAACCAATCTTGTATCGCTTTTAGATGACAAAAACGGTTTATTTTGACAAAAAGAATTGGTTTCTGTTTTACTTTCATAGCTAAAGAAATTCTATAAAGAAGGGTGGATAAGAATAAGAATTACTCTAAACGTTTTTTATCAATTGTTTTCACACATAAGTAACTTTAAACAAAGTAAATAATTTTTTTAGTTACATTTGTTTCATAAAAATGTGTTTTTATATTTTTATATCACTCGCAATTTCTTATAAATTCAAAAACGAAAACTACTTTTCAACGGTGCTTTTTTGACTGCTTTTCAATATAGTTTTATGGCAGTTATGAGAGACTATAATATTTTAAATATTTGTAGTTGGAACTCTACCGCAACAAGGTCAACACTAACTGGAAACACCTGCTCTGTAATCAACCTCTAGACTAATATTAAGTACCGACAGACTGATATAAAATATGTACCGTCTCAAAAACGTGGTATCAGGTCATTTTAATAAAAAGTTTGAAAGCTTGAAGTTATATTAAACTATGTAGTTATTTGATATGTACTTATAAACTTCATGTTTGATACATATATCTTTACTTATAATTAAGTTTCGTGGTCAAAAGGAGCTCGTATAATCTTAACTTGATATAATGCTATTCAATATATGTGAATAAAATCACAGTGCAAAAGTATAATTTAACAATAACCTGGCACATTTAATTTAAGAGGTAGACACTGAGAAACAAGATGCACACATTGTCTATTTTCAAGATACATATTCAAAACGGGAATATAAGTACTTATTGCAAAACTGGAAAACAAAATCCATATATGGCCAAATTTGAGAAAGAGTGTGAAATCGTGTAAACAAATTAGTACTCGGATGACATTTCAAAAGAATGTGTTCTGAAGGGGATTAATTTGCTAATCATTGTTGATTTCCTGTTAGCTATTACGTTCTGTTTTATTAATAGGTTCATGTTGAAGTTCCTGGTTGATAAAATCTGACATTTCCTTTTCGATACAAATCAGTAAATTGTATATAACTATATTTAGATTATGAAATAGATAGAAAAAATGAGTAGTTTTTTTCTCTCATAAAATACTTAATAAAAATATATAAAAATTATAAAATTTATAAAAATTGAAATTGGTATACAAAATGTTTGTAAATACATTATATATACAATAATGTTATTCATTGCTAAACCTGCAAATACAGCACTCGGATATGTTTTTATTTCTTATAATGTTTCTTTTCCCCCTTAACATTATTGATTATGTTCATTTGGTTTATATAGAATTAATTATGGTTCGACTCTGTAGGAAACTATAAGCTTATAGACACCCTCTCGAATCTGTTCCTGAAACCAACCAGTACTGAGCTATGTGTATAAAGTTTTTTGCTAAAAAAACCCACAACATTTTGCCCCTGACTGGTGCTGAACCCATGCGGCTAGCAATCATTAGATTACTAGTCTGACGCGTTAACCACTTGGCCGTGCCGCCACTTTAGCTTAAAAGATATATACCTGTGCAACATCAAACAAATTGCAAGCTTTGCTTTAATGGTATATTTCTTTAAGTGTATCACAAACTCATTTCTTTCTGATTACTATCATCTAACTATTTTAAGCTATTAAGTAGCAAACAAACGATATTTTCTGACTAATACATTGTAAACGAAATATTATTTTTGTTAGCCTTTGCCCTCAATATCTTTATTTATATGGTAACACACAAATCTGAAAATAACAGTACTCACTTGTTTACGTTTAAGTATGGCTCAATTATATATTCTAACATTTATAAGCACCCATGTTCATAAATACTTCATTACAAATTGTATACATTATATATTTGTTTTGATTTATTACATTCAACCCGTTGAAATGACGTCAAAGAAATTGTCATTTATTGTAGTAAAAAGGTATGTTTAAAAGTTAATTTATTACTCAGACATCTTTCAGTGATAAAGCAATTACATGCTATGTCTACACAATGTAGATAATCCGAAATTATTACATAATATTATTTAAGCAACAGCATCAACAGCAATAATTTTACAGTAGTATGTGTTCATAGACTTTTTTTAATGAATAGTTTAAACTTAAAAAAATATCATTTAAACTAAATGCTTAAAATACAACATGTTTGCGATTTAAAATATGTTTTAAACATAAGAAGAAAAACATTACCATAGTTAAGTCAGAAAGTTTATCTGAAGACAACATTTGATTTTAACAACCGTTTTCAATTTGGTATTTCATTTTCCTTCCCTTTTCTTACAATTTTAAATTTATTAATATTTATATATAATTTATAACGTCAAGTTTATGTTTTTTTTCCTTTCGCTAAATTCTGAATTCAGTTAATTATCTAATCCCTTTAATCCGTATACTCATATTATTACATAAAAGGCAATGTCTAGAAAACTTTCATATCAAAATTCCTCCCCACAATTTGGGGGATGAGAAAAAATAAAAGTACAGGTACAAAAAATAACGAACTAAGAAGAGAGTGAGACGTTCGCAGCAAGCAGCCCAGACATCAGTAAGAGACAAGACCATCGCAAAAGCTCCCAGCAGGACACCAAAGCTACTCGGGACAATGACAGTAGAGGCAAGTAGGACGAAGCAGAGAGAAAAAATAAGTCAAAATCAGAAATATTTGATTATCATCTTACTTCTTACAAATCTGATTGTTTCTTTTAATGTATTCATCCGCTTTTGTATTTTGTCATTTGTGACTTGTTTCTTGTTATTTGCGATTTCTTTCAATTAATTTGTGATTTCTCTCAAATGCTTATTTATTGTTTTATTGCATATTTGCTCGGTAGAAATAGTTCTTGAATCGAATTTCAGTTCAATCCATTCCTTTTTTATATGGTTAATCATTCATGTTAAACTTAGTTTAATTACATTTGTATCTTGCAGAATAGTACAGACATAACTTGCTAACAGGATTCATTCTTGAAGAATCTACTTTATCAAGAATGCAATTTATAGCGATTTATTGCAATGAGTTTTTTCCCCCGCACCCTAATTTGTTTGTCAGTTGTTTCGTGGTCAGCTGTTTTGCTTGTTATCTCCGAGAATTTTCAATAAATCCAATTCAAATTTGATATTCAGATTTAGATGTATTAACAGAATCCTATTCATTATTTCAAGCAATTCGATAATTAATGTATCTCTTATAAAAAAAATTATAAAAAACACTTACCATAATACCGATTAATTTACAAAGAGTCCTTTCCATCGGTTCTATGATATTCACGTCACTTCCTTTCTCTGATGTAATGTTGTTGATGTACTCGTTTATAGCAGCTTGCTGATTTGCTATATAAGCGTCACTTCCGGTGCCAGATGAATACATGGCCCTGAACGTTACAGTTTTTAGCTTTTTGCAAACGTCATCATATCGCCGAAATAAAATGTCTTTATAAGATTCAGCAATGTATTTTCCAATAAATGACGCAGGTCTGTCACTAGTGAGATCTGCTAATTGTTTATCATGAAAAGTTCTCCAAATTTTATCCGGAGAACTAAGCACACACACGTTGGTTCCAAAGACATTAAACATAAATATGTCCCCATATTCCTTGCTCCATTTCGAAAACTGCAGATGCGCTGAGTTAATCTTAAGATGAAATCCTTGACCTATAAATGGAAGTCCTCTTGGGCCCGGTGGCGGTCTTTGTGATCTTTCCTTTGATCTTCCTACTACTATCCAAACAATCGCTACAACCATGACAATACAAACCAGCACTAATGTCACAACCATGTTTACTTATGTCTCAAGCTTCTCGAAAACTGAAAATACAGAAAACATTTTACATTATATTTCTCTGCCTTACTAACGCAGGTTTAACATTCTGTTACAAGAAAACTGGTGAATCAACATAAACTGCTTCATTCACTTATATTGTTAGTTCTGTTTCATTTACCTCAACACTGGTTCTTTCTTTTTACAAGTGTTTAATGATTAGATTTACCGCTTCTTAGATCGCTTTATTATTTTTTTGCCCTCACTGTTTGCATAAAATAACTGATTTATAAATGAAATAACTAAGCGTATATAAACACCGAATTTGATTCGCCACGCAGTAAAAATGTACGTAGTTTATCGCTTACTACTCGACATACCGAATGGTGACTTTCGTCTATCTACGTAAGATGTACGTACTTAGCCGAACATTTACGGAATACAAATTCTGTACAGGATTAACATTTTTTTATAAAACGTAATTTATTGCGTTTTTTTTTTGTTTTTATGTTGATGGTTTTTTTTGCCTTGTTCAACAAAAATTTAATAGCGCGAGACACCATATATGTACATTTTAATGATAAAGCTTACATTGTTTTTGCTTTGTAAGAATCACATTCATCAGCATGAGTAACTACAAATTAAATATAGAAATTGTATAAAATTATCATGTAATTAATTACTTCCAGGCTGAAACAAATTATGTCATTAGCATAACTGAAGGGTCAGTAGGCCACAATACTGCAATTAATTATAATTTATTACATACATATGAAAGTTGCTTGTACAACGATGTGAAATAGTCTAACAACGGCTACGGTGATTGAATATAAATCTAATTGATCACACGTGAGTTTTTTTAAATGAACCTAATGCAAGTCTGGCCTGGGGAAATTTTTTAAACATTTTCGAGCTAGTTTAATATAAAGTTACAAAGAATGAAAGGGTTTTTTTTATAATCACAATGTATTATTCAGTCAGAAAGCACGAAAACAATCTCAGCAATATCACCGGTTGAAGAGCCATTTTGTATTAAAGTCTGTGATATAAAGAAATACCTAATAGTTATATCAAATCAAAAACAAGCCTTGCCATTTTCCCAAACCACATAGAATTTATCATTTCATATATCTTTTTTTTTTCGTTACTTTAAAAAGCTATGAATTTATTAATATCTTACACAATTCTGTCATGAATTTCCAATGCTTATGTTAGCGATAATTGAAACAGTAATATTTTGCAGGTAGCTACATTTTTCTCAATTTGTCTCTAGATTCATATCACTTTATCATACCGTGGTACGGGGGCTAATGCGTTTTATAGCACATTTAGTATACACTTAAGTATCTACAAATTTACCTTGACAAAAACGTGAATTAATGACATATAAATGATCATCTTGTAATACGTAAAATATGGAAACACTTAAAACTAGACGAAATGGAGACTTGAGCCTTCATTTGTCAGACAATATCATAAATTTTCATTACATTTCTGGGATGTCATCTAATAATTGTAATGAAAGGAAACTTTCGTGAACCTCGTTCTGGGATTCTGAGTCTGGGTATACGTCAAGGAGGAGCTATATCACACTTCTTAATTATACAAAAATAAGAAGATAGACAACGGGAAATAAGTAGAATTGAAACTGAAACTTTAAGCTCAATTTCATCGGGCACTTTGCAGTTTATAAACAATACAAGTTCTAACTCTTAAATGAATCTAAACGAGAAACGCAGTTTACATGCAAAATACAGAACATTACACAAACTATACACAGAACATTTATCCTGACATTATCGGGTTGTAACAAGGAAATATTATGGAAAAATGCCTAAAATTCATTAATCTAAAGCAAACTAAAATCCGGAAACTTACCAAAGAAAAATATTGTTAATTCATTTATGTATTTACTTATTTAATAACACAAAAAGACTCAATGCACATTTATGTATGCCTGTCATTTATTTAGATATTAATTTTAAAACTATAACCTGCTGATTCTATCATTGAACTATCGAAAATAAAATCTTAATAGTACATAAAGCATTAAGATTTATGCATGAAAAAATATATATATGATTGACTTAACAGGTTTCTATATTTTAACACCTGTCAAAATAAATATATACTTACTTTTTTGTTTAGTCCTTGATTTGTTTGATAATATGCAATCACATAATATTTAGGTACTAATCATAAGTATTGACATAAACCTCACTTGAAACAGTTTTTCCCCGTTTACATTGTTTCTTAGAAATATCACTCTAAGAAACCTGTGTTTCCAAGCACCTTCAAGTATATAACAAATCAAACGGTATCGCAATCTTGTAGTGTAAACCTCAACACGTGTTCTCTCCAGCTTCATGAATGAATCGGCCAGACCAAAATGATCAAAGGCGTTCATCCCGTGAGATTTTTTGAGTATCATAATGGTTAATCCAGTTTATAACCTATACGAAATTCCTCGCTTCCCAATTTCCGGCCTGTGAGAGCCTAAATTATTAACGTGACTATATTCACTACAGGGATTCAAGTGCGTTAATCTTGTAATTGTCGCTGACTTTAATTACTAGTAACAATACTGCAAGTTTTTTTCTTTTCTCTTATTTGTTTTTTTTGGCTAAAGTTATATTCATAGTCATCAAAATAGTTAAGGAGTTTTTTTTAAAACAAGATTCGTACTAAAAGTGCAGTCTATGCACTTAGTTTTGACATAACACTTGGAGTACGCAGGTGTACGCAGTGCTAAAATGTTCGAAAGTTTTTTGTAATGTTTTTATATCTCATTTCTCAGTTTATCAAATCTGATGACGATGAATGTTTGACAAATTTTATCTTAAATTATCTAGTTTGCATTATTCCTGATAATTTTTGTTGCCTTTCCTTTTTTTGGACTGAATGTAATGTTACGATTGTGACTATTAAAATTGTTTTCTATGTAAATCATTTTGTTTTTGTGTAATTGGTATTTGACATGACTTTCAAATGTTATCATTTACTGAAATGTAACTTAATTGATTTTCAATTTTAGATTTGTTTGAAATGTAATTTTGAGGTTAACATATTTTTTAGTGGAAAATAAATCATTTCAACTTTTTAGATACGCATTTCGATAGCTGGAGGTCATTTGCGAAAATTTGTTTAAAGTTTCCTCGAATGTATCATTTTGATATTATAAGTGTCTTCGTTTTTAAATATATTTTAGATATAATCTTAAAACGTTTTAAGATTATATGATAATGAATTAATGTATAATTAGCAACTTAGAGTACAGTTTTCGTGTAAATGAATTATGTTATAATAAATATACGCTCTTTTGAAAACTGTTATTTATTATTAAGAGGTCACCCAGGGGTAACCGCTTGACAGAAGTATTCTTTGGCACATTTGAAGATTCGTTAGCACTCTGGATACTTGATTGTGCTAATATACTTAATTATTCGCGCTAATCACCACTTCAGACACTACTGGTACTTCCACATACCCCGCAACATATATCAAAGTGTTAGTTATAAATGTTGCTGGTGGTATGTACTGGGAAAATATATGATAACATTAATTATTTAACGAATCTATAATACTGCAAAAATCATTTCCATGCATGACTTTTTGATGCATCATTTGTCTAGAAAATATTGTAAATTAATATACAATGTATTTACAAGAAATGTTTATGAAGTATCATAATCGCTAATATGACGTTGATTTATTGATCTATTGAATATTAAGTTTTAAATATACTTTTTGTACAAGGCATGTCCTCATTATTTAACAAAACACGAATGACCATCAAAGTTTATCAATTGTATAAAATGACAATTCAATTGAAAAAGAAAATCATTGGGAGACATGATCAGACAAAGAAATTTTACATGGTCAAAATGTTGCATGTTCAGGTAATGTCATAAGTAAACAAATATAACAACATGTTTATTTACTTAATTTTTAAGAATAAAAAAAAAACAAATAAACACAACATGACATTAACTGCTAATAATAACAGCTCCTACCATGGGCCAAAGAACCCCGAAGCATTCCATAAATGGCGACGCCGCACACCGGCGTCGCCAACAATAACTTTAAGAAGTTCTTACATAAATGGAATAGTATAATATTAACCGTTATCAAATTGCACTTGAGTACTATTTATACACGCTTCAGAGACAGACAGTAATATGTCTTAATGTGATTTACATTCCCACATATCAGCGAAATTAAATAATGTACAGCCAAATTGAATATTGCTATCAAATACCTATAATAACCACAATTCGCTTACGGACTATTTTTTTAACATATTTGACATATCACCATGACAATTAGTCTAACTTTAAAAAGGCGTTTAAGCGTTTAAGGAGCGTGTAAGGAGTGTATTTAAATCAGTTTTTACATCGTCTAGCACGTACGAAAATTGCCATTAACATATATAAAAAATGTAATTCAACTTATAAGGTAATAAACTATCTATTTTAGCAGTCGTTTAAACCACTGTTCAGTAATTCCTCACTAAGGATAGGCATTCAGATTTTGTAATTAAATGTATGAAATAAGATTTATTATGTGTTAATTGTTAGAGTTTTTTTCTAATAATCTTGATATTCCCTTAATATCAAATGTTAAATTGTTACAAATATATATGATCATATTTGAGGTTGATTCTTTGAAGGTGCTGTATTTCAATGCTTTCGGACATACCTTTTTTCAATGCTTTCAGAAAACACATTAACCTCGCTCTTAGCTTTTTACAGAGTCAACATGAAAGATCAAAGATTCATGATCATTGAACGATATATTCAAATTTAAAAACTTATCCCTACTTTATATTAATCAAAGCACAGAAGGCGCTGAATTTGTTTGGGTCTCAGAATGTCAGAAAGGTGAAGGTTGTGAGATTATAAACCAGTTTGTTTTTGTATAGTGCCACCAGTGCTTTCCAGCGTTTTAATTGTAGTTAATTGGCTTTAAGACTAATTGCAACACTGATATTCAATTCAATGTTTATTTGACTTAAACAATTTGAAGAAAAAAAGAGTTGCCTTCCTGGATTTGAACTCCAGACCCCTCGGCCACGGTGAAGTTATATGTAAAAGGCCTGAAGGTAACCATATTATTCTAAATTAGGGTTTGTAACTCTAATTATTTCGACGCATTGTTGTTTAACACAGATGTTAATAATCATGGAGTTTATTATAAGCATGTATATCTAAATGAATGCGCCTGTCACTTGACCATCTTTACGCAGTGATCTCCCCTGAATTTTTTCGGCGTTAGTGAACATATAAAGGGAAATAACCGCTTCAAAAAAGCGGCCTACTTTCGGCATTTGCAATTAACAGCATCAAACTCTGAAATTTCGCTACCATTATTTGTTTGGTCTGACGACCCAAACAAATAAAAATTGTTTTTATTTAAACATATTACATTTTAAGTTTGAATTATTTTTTCTGTATCCCCCGCAATGGGGTACACTATCGAAACATTTTTAAATAATTACAAAAGCAAAACATGTGCACAATATGCAATAATCACAATTCTCATAGGAAGCACAAAATAATACATGTAATTTGCAAATTGTTAGTTTGTTGAGTATATGGATTGTTTGAAATACTTAGTTGACATAATATCTTATAACGCACCGTGTTTTCTCTTGTCCTGCAAAAGTCATGATTATATAATCAGACTTAATAAATGCGCCAGGAATATGATGCAAATATGTTTAGAAAATATTGTCTTGGAAAACCTGTTTACACAGCTGGAAACTGATTCCGAGGAAGAAAAAAAAACCCGTTTCAAACTTTTTACACGGGATATGTGAACAATTTGTTTGCGAAAATATAATTAAGCCTGTAATTATGATTGATATTCTGAGACATAATTGTTTCATACCTGTAACAAAAATGCAGGTACTGACAATCTAATGAAGGTTCCAATGAAATAGTTCCTTTCATTTACTTCTTTGTAATCCACCAAAGAATTCGTTTATCATTCTCTAAGAAGAAAACATTATTCTGATGGCCATAAATCATAAATCACTTTCTTATGCTGTCGTTTAGTTTTGTCCTGCATTTTCTTATAGCAACAATGATATCCGTAATTTATGAATATAGTTTGATGCCATTTAGTTACATGAACTAGTAAGCAAAGGCAAAACGAAAGTTATCAATGTTTTAACTAACTTTCTTTTTGTGTTTCATAAAATTACTCTATAATCATTTTTGACATATCATATAATATGCTACTATTGATTGGAATCGATTGGGTGCTTTTAATCTATTAGAAAAGTTTCTGAAACTTTATAAACGTGACTGTATTGCGATATTGTAGCATATTCACCAATGAAATGGTGCATATAAAATTCATGCGCCTGTAACGAGATGATGACGAACTATTTGCAAGACCTGTGTTTCCCTAGAATTCATAATTTAGAGGACACATAAAAAAGAAGCATCCATTTAAATAACTTTTATAAGTTTGGCACTTTAGAAAATTTAGGTACAATTTGTTTCTCATGTTTCAGATATTAATTCAAAAAGTAGACGATAAGTAGGTTGAGTGATGTTATCTTATGAAAATACAAATTGTACTTAAGAAATAAACAGTTCTAGATTTGAATGATTGGAAGAAACCAGCTAATAAAATAAAGTAATTTGCAAACCTTTGTCCGTTAATGCAAAAGCTTCTGTTTTATATAAAAACCAATTTTTCAAAGCATCGGATAATACTTTAAGTGAATTTTCACGTATTGTATCATTTAAGATTCCCTTCTGTTGTCTTAGGTTAACTGAATGAGAACGTCCCATTTAAAAAAAAAACAATATATTTTCAATGTTAAAATTTTAACAGAATATATACACATTGTTTGAAGCCTAAAATGATACAGAATGGACAGAATGTTTCTACGTTTTAAGGGAACAAAAGTGAATTTTATCTTGAAAGTCCATGTGCCTTATAAGCTTTACTAGATTTGTATTATTACAAAAAGCTCATAAATTATATTACTTTTTTTAAATCTAACACACATTTTACTTTAAATTCAGCATTTTTAATAACAACTGTTTCGAAGTTGGAAGTCAAAAACATTATTTGTACTAGAATGAAAATTGCACCTAACTGACAGAAACCCAACAATCCGCTTTCCTCTATACAAATAACATTTACATGTTGTTTACAAATATGCCTAGAAAATGTTATGAATATGTCAACAACGTCTTTTCTCCGTGATATAAGAGTTTGTACAGCTGTGAGACAGATAGGAAATCAACGTTTCAAACGAAGAGAAAATGCTGGAACATCGTTTTCAAGTGAATATATTAGGTGCAACTAATTACGTTTTCGACGACGAGCATTTTCAGCGTTGAAATGAAGTTATAAATTAAAATGATGATGTACCTTAATGGAGCTTGTTTAACATATAAAATTTTATTCATAATACAACATAACAAAGACTTCACAATTCTTTTTAGCAAAACAATGTGATAAATGAACATTTCATACCTTTCTCCTCAGTAAAAAA